CGCATTGCTCTATCCTTTTAACATGGATATTTCTAAATGGCCCCATTGTATATTATTAAAGCAAGTGTGTCAGTTTAAATAAGTGCCACCAGATTCCTTGTAGTTTAAATAAAGTGCCTGGCATGTATCCAAGCAGAGTTTGGAAGTACCTCTGAGTCCTTGATATCAAGTTACTAGGCCATGATTACAAGAAAGCCTGATGACGCATCTTTAATGGACTGCAGAGCACTTGGGGATAGGGCTGGGGAGGGTCAGACAGATCAGTAGTGAAATGCACCAGACCTTTCACCTCTGGACTCCTGGGTTCGAACTCTGACTCAAATGGAAAGTAAAAGGGCATTGTGCTGGTCTCAACCTCACATCACAAGGCAAATAGGTATGATCAGCAGCTCCAGGCATGAGCTGTTTGGCGGTGGCACAGTGTGCACTGAATGCACTGGGCCTGCCTAGCTATGAGATTGATGCTATTAGTCCCTCAATTCATGAGACAAAATTCACCCCAATATACAAGAGGATCAAAAAATCCTCCTCAGTGAGATCAGAATAAAATATCAACCTAGCAGCTTCTGAACTCCCCTATAAATAATTAAACTCTATCCAAAATAATCCTCGGCTACAGAATCGCTTATTGCTCAGCAAAGCAATTTCTATAATCACTTTCTTTCAAATCAGGCTGTTTGAAGAGTGCAAAGCTGCGTTTCTCATTGCTGATTATTAGCTGGCTCCAGATTCCCTTTTGGAGTCTTCTTCCCACTGACACAAATAATTAGCCAATTTCCTTTTACCTGTCTGATCTGTCCTGCAAACAGCATCTCCCCCCTGTTCCTCCGGTACCTGCTTAGAAAGCTCCGGGCAGGAGCAATCTGCTGGGTGAAAATGCCTGATGCCATGTCAAAAAGCAGAAGACATTAATGAAATGTTGCTCAGCTAGTGCCAGCTGCCATGCTTACCACATGGAGACTATCCAGCCCCCTGCTAGCCTTTGGTAATCACTTACCACAATGGCCTCCTGAAAGCACAGCAACTCCCAGACTGACTCTGGGTTGTGCTGAATGGCACGTTAGTGATTGCTCTGAACCAGCACACTGCATGCTCTGTCATCTGGAGTGAGGAGAGAGAGAAGGGAGCCCCACTTTCCCAACTGCATTTCTTAGCCCCAGTCTGAAGAGGTCTAGATGTTTCTGGGGGCACAAAATCAAGGCAAAGTATCCTGGACAGCACAAAGGAACAGGCTAGACTTTGGCAGAGTGGATGGAAGCGGCAGAAAGCAGCATCTTCTCCTGACCTCTAACTTGCTACTGGAATGGAAAAGCATTGGTTCTTTGACACTCTCTAATTGAGACACAGATTTGAGCTCAAGGTAAACGGGACACCAGGATTAATCATGAAGAGTAGCCTTTGCACTTCTGCAGCACCTCACAAGAGCAGGTTGGAGAGCTCCTCCCGAGGACAGACGGGAGCGGTGAGAGTAAGTGGGGGTACCCCCACTTGGTAAGACAACTCCCATCTTTTCCTGTGCTATAATATATATTCGTCTTACTGTATTTTTTACTCCATGCACCTGGTGAAATAGGTTTTAGCCCACAAAAGCTTATGCCCAAATAAATTTGTTAATCTCTAAGGTGCCACAAGGACTCCTCATTGTTTTTGCTGATACAGACTAACACGACTACCCCTCTGACATCTATTTCAGCGATCCATTTGTGAATGTCCTGGTCATGCCCCTCCTAAAGCCTGAATGTAGCGAACATCCACAGCTCCTCCAGGTCATAATGATGCAGAGGAGCAGAGTTCAATGGGCCTTGGCCTACTGAGACTGAAGCTGGCACTTACCCTTCTAGGTGAGAGTCTGTCATGGTTCAGTAGGTTTTTACTAACAACTCACTGTAATTTGCTGCAAGGCTCCTGGCTTCCAGCACCTAATTAACTCCCACTGCAGCCCTCCTGACAAGATAGTTCATGCTAAATTACTGCACTGATATGAGAGGAAAAAACACAGGCTCTACTTTTACTGCCCAGTGGGCCTGTAGGGCAGGAATTACAGAGTCACTGAGGGGAGCAGGAGCATGTCCCATTGAAAGACAACGGGAGTTGTGCTCAAACTTCTCGGGCACTTTTCAAAATCCTGTCTCCAACTCTGGGATGCGGTAAACTGCCCATGAGCTCCTACCTTCTATCAGCTCTCAGTGTGTTAAATAGATTCATGAACTGTAAGGTCAACGGGAGCCATTCTGAACATCTAGTCTGATCTAATGCACGTCCCAGGCCAGAAAACACCACCTGAGGAGTCCTGCAGCGAGCCCAACACTTTGTGGTGGAAACACAGCCGATCTTTCAGAAAGATGCCCATAAATAATTACTGCAGGACCTCATGGTGCAAACTCAGACAAAGAAGCCAAGGTGACAGGTGAGAGATGGTTTTAGGAATGTAAAGGCACGGAGGAATTGAATTATCAGGCTGAAGGCTTGGTGAACATTAATTGAGAAGCTGTTCCAGTGTAAAAAGCAACAGAGGGTCCTGTGGCACCTTTAAGACTAACAGAAGTATTGGGAGCATAAGCTTTTGTGGGTAAGAACCTCACTTCTTCAGATGACTGAATAAGTGAGGTTCTTACCCATGAAAGCTTATGCTCCCAATACTTCTGTTAGTCTTAAAGGTGCCACAGGACCCTCTGTTGCTTTTTACAGATTCAGACTAACACGGCTACCCCCCTGATACTTGTTCCAGTGTAATTAGGGATTAAGGGCCCGCGTGTCCTAGCACTTGACACTGTAGATGGAAGAGCCAGAAAGGAGGCAAAGAGGAAGATGTGTAGAGGACAGAGCAGGAAGAGAGAGTGTGTAGAGGGACAGGAAGTGAATGAAAGCAAAAGAAGGAAGAAGGGAGGTTGGGGACTGGAGGGGCAAGCCAATCCATGAACATCTAACCCTCACATCCTCTCCCTCATCCTTCCCCTCCCCTGTGTCCCCTCTTGAGATTAGCTCTTTGCAGCAGGGGAGCTGTCCTGTTGCACCCACAGCATAAGCACAGTATACAGATCAGGAACAACTGCAATCTGGCCTTTAAAGGTTACTCTACTGCCAAAGACAAAGGCTTCCCACCATTTGAAAAGCAGCCTTCTCCCTAGCGGTCACCCCCACTGCCGTTCTCCTGACAAGGGATGTGATGCTAAATTGCTGTCAAAAAGAACCAGTCTCAGTCCTCCAGCATCCCCAGGGCTCTCTTCACAATCCTGGAGGGCAGCAGAGGGAGACCTCCAGGGGCAAGTGTTTGGAAATTGAAACTCTTCACTGGTTTATGTTCCTATTATCAGATACCAAATGAAGGTGGGGGGCAGCACGGTGGGGAGCAACATAGGCTGTAACCGTACAGTTTAAACAGGGTCTTTTTGAAACAGGAGTATTTCTTTCTGTGTTCCCTACTATACCTTAGTAGCATATGGAAAGGCCTGTTGGGAGCACATGGCAGCAGGCCCAGTTGAATCCCACCAAGCTGTGCTGAATAACTGCCCCCATATTAACTCACCCTGTGGGAAGACAAAGTCACAGACTGTTTTTTCCAGTTCAGATTTCCTAAATCTTTTCCCCCATGGGGGCAGGTTCCAGAAATCAGGCCAGGAAAAACTGCCCAATAAAAGCCTGTCCACTGAGCAACAGCACGAACAGGGATGATCAGATAGGCATCTGACAGTTCAGATCCTCTGCATTTAACGTGATCTCTTATCTAGTGGTTAGTGCTTGGGACTGGGGAATCCACTAGCTCCTCCTGTGACCTCAGGCAAATCTCAACCTCCCAAGGCCTCTATTTCCCCCTCTGTAAAATGGAGATAATAGCTATTAACTACCTTACAAGGAACTGAGCCTTCATTTATACTAAGGATCAGCATGTGATGGAGGAGAGAAAAGACATACTTGAATGTTTGCACTCAGAGACCACAGAGATGAGCACCATAGCCAGATAGAAACAGAACTTCAGGCAACCTTTAAAAGGGCTTAGGTTGCGGTTCAGAATAAGGTTCAGGTCAATTCTTATTTAAACCTGATTGGTTCACCCACCCTTCATGAAAACTGTAGTCTAGCCAGGAGGGGAGCAGAAAGGATGGTATAAAGCGGGGGTCCTTCCATCCATGCATTCTACACTCCAGAGCGGGCATTTCAGAGACCCAGCTCCAGTGGGTGGCCACACACCCAGGCTGCAAACCTAGAGGCACAGAAAGGATTGCATCATTTCTCAGGCTGTGTCCACAGTGCTGGGAACTCACTGAGAATCCTGCCTCATTAGTTTATTCTCCTTTAGCAGCCTGTCTGGCCACGAGCTATTGCCAGGGAGCGAGCAGGCAGCATATCACCAGTTCTCTCAATCAAACCCTCCTGTTCATTCTCTTTGCAGAGCCGGAGGACATTACTGTTTCCTAGTCATGGCACAGTCTGGAGGTGGCAATGGTGTCTGTAAGTTAGTATATTTGATACCGAAGTGGCATGAGTACAAGCTCTGGGTCTCAGCAGCAATAACCAGACAATTACATTTGTTTTCTAGCTGAGTGGAACAGAAAAATGACTCACCTGGATTAAAAGGGCCATTTGCTCTTTGCAGCCTCACTGCATCCACCAGCCTTAGGCACAGAATCATTCTGCACCAGCCTTAAGAAGCCCTCAGTGTTCCTCCTCATCTACTTTCCTACCAGCCAAAAGAGCCCCCAACAAGTCATCTAGTCTCCTTTCCTAGCTGACCAGCCCATCTCCGGTCTCTCTCTTCCCCAGATGGCTTCTATCAGCTCCATGGTCATCACACACCTCATCAGCCTCCTACTTTACACCACCCGCTGGTTACATCACAACCAGCATGACCACTGTCACACTACACCAGCATCTAATTCTTTGCACATGTCCCATCCATCCACTCAAGAAAGCAGATCAAGCCTGATGTGCCACGGGAGCACACCTGTGTTCCCAACACCCCACAGCCTGCTGGAGCAGAAAGCCGAGAACGCCTCACTCACTCTCATCTGGGTTGGGGGATGCAAGAATAGCACTGTGCTTCCTCTTCACTTCCTCCACATTCTCAGCAATTTTATCGATGAACCCTCGAATTTCTTCCACCTATGGAGACATGGCCCAAAGGAACACAGCTGTTCAGCATATTCATGACAGTCGAGTCTATGGGAAGGGGAGAGGTTGCTAGACTCAAGTGCTCCCCAATCTGAAAGCAGTCATAGGAGACCTGGGCCAGGCTGCTTCCTGCAGGAGCATTTAGCTGGCTACCACCTGATCGGCTTCTTAAGGCGTGGCTATACCGTGAAAAGAGACTCTCTAAAGTGCAGCAGGGAGGTTTGGGGCAGGGGAATAGTTCTCATCTTTATTACAGCAGTGACTCTAGGTCACGTCCGTTCAGTTTACATGTTAGAAAACGTTATTTCAACATGCCAGCCCAGAAAATTCCCTTGGGATCCAGGAGACTCCAAGCTTCCCAGCTCATGCATTAGCATCATGAATAATGGTTCTGCATCTGGGAAACTGAACAATTCTGCTCCAGATGCACAAGTCAAACTGCAGACCAGCTTGCTCCTCCATAACTGCTGGATCCACAGGGTTAACCTTTTAGTCATTAAGGAAAACACACTTGGCTGATACACTGGGAGAGCAGATGTAGTGAGTGAGAAGGTGCACTTCCCCACGACACTGCACTTTAAGGAAGGTTGCTGATGTCTTGGGAAGTGCAGTCAGGGTTTGTATTATGCTGTTTTTCTAGGCTGCCTATCTAGAATACCTCTACCTTCAATTCGCTGAGTGACTTTTCAATAGGGTTTTACATCCTACTTTTGACAGACTGCCTAGAAATGTCTTCACACACCCCAACACACTATGATAAAGGTGTTCTAAAGCTGTATGCATCACTCACAGCCACCCACATGCCAGAACAGAACCTCCCATTTGTAAGCTAGATATGTACAGAAAAAGTCAACCAGTCCCATGCAGGGTTGTTTTAGCGCCTTTCTGCTTTAATCAAAGCACTGAAGCAAGAAAGGTTGCAGAGTTGAGGCTTTCTGCTGCCCCAAAAGATAGTGGCTTTCCTCCACACTGGCATAGAGGCATCTGTTCTAATTTACCAACAGTTGCTAAAGTTGTCACTTTGGTTTCGATGGACGCACCTGGAGGATCAAATTGCACATTACATCATAGGCTTTGTAATTGCACATTACAACATTGGTTCTGCTGTGAAGACTGCATGATTCTAATTGATGCCTAAACCTTATGGCGCATGCTCCAGAGTGCGACCTAGGAGGAGCTAGCAAAGGCTGAAGTCTGAGCATTGGCAGATCTCGTGTCAATGAGAAAAAGACTCCGTTCCCACTGGCAATTCCTACACACATGACTGTGAATCCTAACAGTGACATCAACTGGCCGTGTATTCTGTGTCTAGAGTCCAGTGGGAGGTCAGGGAGAGAGCACCACTTAGTTCTGACCAGCGGCACAGCTCTGAGCTTTGCTGAGAGAACAAACATCTCACCTGTTCAAAGAACTCATCCATGAAGCGATCCCGGTCCACGCTAACGGTGACTTCATCATCATCATCGCTGTCCTTAGCCTGTGCAGACACAAACCCAGACATTAGCAAGCTGCTCTCTACAAACTTCACTGATCCATTCTAAGCACTTAGCCCAATGGTCCTCTCTCAAGTCAGCAGAGCGTGGGTTCCCCCTGAACTTTGCCTGGGAACAGGTTACTCCTGTGATGCGAGAGGTAAATGCTGACCCATTAGAAGCTGTGGGGATTAATTAAATTAATGGAACCGGAAAAACCTAGAAAGAATCAATCCCTGGACACTGTATTTAGTGTGTTACTAAAAGGCTTAAAGAAATATTAAGATCATGCTCAAACACAAAGGCATGGTGAAAATCACCATTGCAACTCATGGTCAAGTCACTTAAGCTTTTTGTGCCTAAGTTTACCCTAGTGTAAAATAAGAATAATGATATTTACATCTTTACACAGTGTGCGGAAAGGAATTATTTGATGTCCTCATACACACAGCAGAGGACAGCTCAATCAAAACATCTGCTCCACGCACAAAACATGGGATAGAAAATGGATGCTATGTTCACTTTTGGTGATCCTATTGCAGTGAAACCTTAGCAGAAATAGAGGAGGGCATGGTTCACAGACAGGTGACCAAAATTAGGGATCTAGAAAGTCTTCAACATGAGGAGTTGTTATAGCCGTGTTGGTCCCAGCATATTAGAGAGACAAGGTCTCGTGAATATCCTGGGATCAACACCGCTACAACACTGCACACAACAATGGAAGATACCGAATTCACCCACCTCCTCTTTAGTGTAAGGAGACAGTTAAAATATTTCATGCAGAGAGGAGACATGAGAGAGAGAGAGAGAGGAAATAATGAATGGATAGGGAAGCTCCTATTTACCTTCGCACTCCATGGAAACAAGGGGAGGTGCAATGAAATTGAAAGGGAACAAATTTACAACTAACAAAAAGAAAGATTTCTTTTACTCAACACAGAATTAACCCATGAACTCCCTGCCACATGGTATCGGAGCCCAGGAGCTTACCAGGATCCTAGGAAGGGTTTGACATTCATGTGGATAATGAGAATATTCACAAATACTGTAGACAGGATAAAAATAGAAGGGCTCTAAACCCCAGTGCTTCAGTCTACAAGCCAACCATGAATAGTCTGGAGTTAGGAAGACCTTTCCCATGAGCAGGTGATTCCAGAATTGTCTGTTATGGGGGTTTTTACGCCTTCTTCTACAGCAGCTGGTGCTGGGCACTGTCAAGCACTACAGAAGGGTGTGTTATACGATGATATAGCTGACATGGTGAAAATCCAAGACAAGGCAAACTGACATTTTACCTCAATATAACTGACTGAGATAAACTCTAATCTCCCCCTTGGGTGCACCTCAACCAGCTTCACCGTGATAAAACTACAGCTTGCCCTGACTTCTCCACCAGGATTCTCCACCATGTCGGCTATCTCACTGTAACACACCTCTTTGGAGTGAAGACATGACCTTCGAGGCCAGATCCTGGAGTAGCCATTCCCCTGATCTGATTCAGACTGGCTGTTCCTACATCTCTACTATAGGGGCGAGGTTTCATCGTGCTATATTTGTAAAGCACTTTCAGACCCAACACACATACAGTGTAAGCACAAACTCTCATTGGCTATTATAGGGGCAAAAGCCTCTCCAGCTGTCACTGACAGCACCTATTTTGTTTCCAAGAGTATTGCTTATGGGCAGGGGGCAGGTGTATCAAAATTCAGAACATGCATGTTCATCACACGGAGGAGGAAAAGCCCAGCCCCAGAACAGCCTCTCTCAGGTGCAGACTCTGAGGTCCTTCTCCCGCAGAGCTCTGCATTCAAGGCTACAGCTCCAGAAAGCAGCCTGAGAACAATTTAGGCTTAACAGACTCTCACCCTAATCTGCTAAGCTAACAAGATGTGCTGAATCAGCACCACACCTACAGGGCTATTAAATGAAAAGGAGATGGTCAAGAGAGCACTATGTGATCATGCAAAGGTACAGTAACTCCTCACTTAAAGTTGTCCCGGTTAACATTGTTTCATTGTTACGTTGCTGACCAATTAGGGAACATGCTTGTTTAAAGTTGTGCAATGCTCCCTTCTAACGTTGTTTGGCAGCTGCCTGCTTTGTCCACTGCTTGCAGGAAGAGCAGCCTGTTCAGCTAGCGGGTGGGGGCTTGGAACCAGGGTGGACCAGCAGCCCCCCATCAGCTCCCGGCTCCCCTAAGTTCCCTGTGCAGCAGCTGCCCAGCAGGCTATCAATTGGCAGTTCAGCTGTCCCTCCCCCCACTGCCATGTGCTGCTCCTGCCCTCTGCCTTGGAGCTGCTCCCAGAGACTCCTGTTTGCTGTGCAAGGGGGGAAGGAGGGGGCTAATATCAAGGTGTCCCCCTCCCCCCTTCTCCTGCACCCCACTTACCCATTCTCCATATAGAGCAGGGAGGGGACAAGGTTGGAGAGAGACAGAGAGAGCTTGGGGCAGCAGCTGCTGTCTCAACTTCCTGATCCACTTAAAAAGACAATGCACTTGTGGGTCAGCTTAATTAAAGGGGCAGTGTGCATCTCTCTCTCTCTCTCCCACACACAAGGTATGTGTCTGTCTCCGTCTGCTATGCTGTCTCCCCTCCCTTGTGTTCATGCTGCCTTGTGTGAGAGGCTACATTAACAACAATGTGTTAACCCTTGAGGGCTCAGCTGAGTGCTAGTTCATCATTTAGCAGCAAGGCATTTGCTGGGAAATATCCCTCCCTCTTCCACCCTCTAACTTCACCACCTCAACCAAGCTTCACAATCATCATAGCTGTGAACAGTATTAAATTGTTTGTTTAAAACGTATACTGTGTGTACATCTATATAATATATAGTTTTTTGTCTTGTGAAAAAAATTTCCCTGGAACCTCCCCTCCCACCCATTTACATTAATTCTTATGGGGAAATTGGATTCACTTAACATCGTTTCAATTAAAGTCGCATTTTTCAGGAACATAACTACAACGTTAAGCGAGGAGTTACTGTACAGTGTACTGCCGGAACACTCCTCACATGCAGCCCAGGGCATTCTGCAGTCACTCAGAGCTGCAGATGCACTGAAGCACACACAATTGCTAAAGGATCATATACATGATTTCATCAAGCAAAGCAAATAACCCTCACACCTGAATGCCTAGAGATGGGAGGGGACGGACACCCCTTCCCCTTCCCCTCCCCCCCCCCCCCGCATGTCACTCCTCCACCTCTGTGCAGGCCAAGTGTCCCACATATTTCTCAGCCCCCAGAACTTTAAACTTTCCTCCTCCCAAATCCAACTCTGCATCCACAAAGCCTGACTCCAAAGACACCCATGGAGCCCATTACCACCGCTCCTTCCTCGTCAGATAGGGATTGCTGTTCAGTTACATAAGGACTTCTCTGCCCCAAACACCTGAGAATGCTGCCTCCACAGAGCCACCAGCCCCGGCAACCAAGAGACCTAGAAGGCGCAGTGACTCAAGCCAGTGTGCTCGCATGGTGCTGCAGAGCACTCCAGCTGTGCTATCAGGCAGCCCAGCCCCTGGGGTTAGATATGTAACAGGCTCAGCCCTGTGGGTTTCCTGGAATGCTGCATTGCAGGACTGCTTAGAAGGGTTAGTCCCCTCCCTGGCAAGAGTAGTATCCTCTGCCCTGTCAACCTCAAGCCTTCAAAAATGACAAGTCAGGCTCCAAACAATCATGAGCTTTTAGAAACAAATATTGGGTTCTTCGGTTTTTTTCATTTTCCTTCTGGTTTTCAAACCTTGAGAGGTCACCCTTAAAGCTTTTCTCAGCAAGTCTGAGGGCTACAAGCTCTTTTTTGTTTGCTTTTTGTAAAAGTAAGTTGAGATTCTGATGTGTTCACCTGACTCCAGGAGCAGGGGCTTTAAGAAAAACACCAAATATGGAAAGATCTGTGATAAAACCACAAGCGTTGGCAACGCTGTATCAGTCATATCAAGCTAAACAGAAACAGGGCTTCCAGAACATAGGAATGGCCATACTGGGTCAGACCAATGGTCCATTTAGCCCAGTATCCTGTCTTCCAACAGTGGCCAATGCCAGGTGCCCCAGAGGGAATGAACAGAACAAGTAATCATCAAGTGATCCATCTCCTCTCGCCCATTCCTAGCTTCCCCTGCCGTTGGCAATACGGAGGTACAAGCAGGCAACATAGAACACATGTATGTGAGTCTAATTCCCAGGTGCACAAGCACAAGATCGAAAATTCTTAAGTTTGCTTTGGCTGCAGCAGCCAGCATGTTCTATTCAATATGGAGCCATGTGCTTATTTGGCCTATTTGAATTGAATCGTTTGAATTGAGGGGCACTAGTGAGTCACTTCCCACCTCCCTCTGCCTCCTGGCAGCCTTGATTTCTTTACCCCAATTGATCACAGGCAGACACACAGACATGAAGTCCAGCCTCGCACCTCACAGGCTCTCTCGGCAGTTTGTACAGTTCATGTTTCCCCTGATGTTTCATGTACGTTTTCCTGGCCCTAGCATCTCTTCAGGGCGTGGAGACATTTTGTGGAAGTTTCTACACATATGCCAACGTGGCACAATTCTGGCCTGCAATGCCCTTGCTATTCTAGTGCACAGACCATCCCTCAGGCCTATCAGAAGAAATCTGGGTCCCCGGTACATTATGTTCTCTGGGGTCCCTACCCCTTCCCAATTCACCCTGATTACAGACATTTGGCGGGTCGCGGGCCAAAGGTTGCCGACTCCTGATCTAATGTAGCTCAGTTGTGGTCTGCAGCTTTCCTCTCCTGGAAATTCCATTACTGGACTACAATACAACTTCACCTCTACACCTCACTTCCAGCCCACTGTGCCCCTTTAGTCCAGTTCTGACTTCATCCAGAGAGATAGCAGAGTGTCTCCCCTAAGCTCCCCAACTTCAAAATAGATTGCATTGCTCATATTCCTCAGCAAAACAGGAGTCTTCCAATCCACCTATTTCAGTGGCATGATCACTGTTATCCATGACCAAGAAGTTCACTCAGGGGACTTTCAGAAACCAGAGACATTGTGTGTCCCTCTGTAACACTACCTATCATGCCTTGGTACTCCTCCAAATGCAAGCTGGAGGGCATC